ATCGGCTCGAGCATGTATCCATCGAGGTCCAGGAAAGCGTCTTCTGCGACAGTCACGTTGTAGACCTCCGGCGTGTCAGAATCCTAGAATCCACACTCCACAACCGAGCTGGCTCGCAACGTGGAACTTTGTGCGGCGGGTATGCGCAAGACAGGTTTCCTTGGCACTGCATCTCCCATGGCCTCGCCAGGCAGCAGTCCCTGAGGTGACAGCAGCGCGTAGCTGCCTGCAACAAGGTCATGTCGACAAGGCTTCCGGTGCAGCTTCGTCACGTAGTCGATTTTGTCCCCGAAGAACGTAGGCACGTTTCCTGCCACAGTGCCTGCCGTGATCGCCGCCATACCGGGCACATCGATTGTTGGCGACATGAAGGACCTGCCGAAAGGGCTGCTGCACTGCAACCCACGCGGCTGCATCCACCAGAGCCTGGGTACGAAGGTCACGTTCCCGGGTCCACCGGTTACCTTGGCGAGTACCAGGAAGCGCAGCGATAAAGGCCCTAAGCACAAACTCCACACCCTAAGCCACTGAGACCGCTGCAGGCTCGTTGAATGCGAGGAGGACGCTCCCCTCTGCTGGAAACTCGTGCAACGGCGCATCCAGGTCCTGCCAGTTCCCGGGAATTGATGATTGCAAAATATCGCAGGTCTATGTTTGGGCATGCCGTTACTGCGACCGTTTTTCTGCGACAAGCTTACTCTCTGCCCCCTAATATTAAACCCCCTCGAATAAAAAAAAACTCAAATCCGAGCGTTGAGTTTTTATATTAGGGGGAGCGGGTATGAGTGGGATTACTACAATCAGACTGTAGCCCTGAGCCTTTAGAGCCCTAATTACGGCCTTAAGCCTGAAACCACAAGCCCTAAGCCCTTAACACCTAAGCCCTAAGACCTTAATTAAGCCCTAAGCCCTGAACCCTAGAGCCTTAAGCCCTAAACACCTAAGCCCCAAAGCCTTAAACCCTAAAATTTAAAAACCCTACAGCCTTAAACCCTAAAGCCTTAAGCCCTGAGCCCTTAACCCCTAAACCCTAAAGCTCTGATCCTTTTGGTTTAGTACTGCTGTAGTCTTGGCTTTTTTAAAACTAATACAATCCCTGGGCCCCCCCCCTAATGTTTTCAATTAACTTTCAATCGTGGGCCCGAAACCACGAAATCCGGCAGTTTTTATATTAGGGGGCTTTCTTTTAGGGGGGAGCGATTACACAGCAGCAGTGTCGTGGCAGTCCTCCTCGTTTCCGGGCCGGCAATATGTCAAGTTAAGGCTTGGCCTTGGCACAGCACTCATGGCGGTTCAGACTCTGAACTTTGATTCCGGGTCTGTGCACTGACAGGTACGGGATCTCCGAAGCAGGGCTCCTCACCGATCCGATGCCTCTGGCTCGACGGAGAAGGTAATCGCCAACTCCGCCTGAGATTCAACTTTGTGCGCTCGAAGCCTGAGATCTCTGAACCAATGCAGAGTGTGAAAATGTGGCCGGAAAGCCTCGAGAACACCCGGAATCAAGCAAGCGGCTACACCTCATGAGTACAAAACCAGCTGTCAGCAACAGTGCGAACAGCTCTCGAACCAGAGTGCAAACAGTTGTTTTTAGCTGCCCAACCCCGTGGCCTTCATTCTTCTGTTTCACAGCAATTTACTTTTGCTGCGACTGAAACGGCTTCTGAACCGACGCAATTGGGGAGGTGGGCCCGGCGCCGCCGGAGACGGAAAAAATCAAAATACCTTTATGCCAGGCGGGTGGCCGCCTGCGCGCTGCGGCGACTGCTTCAAGCCCGTTCTTCGAGGCAATACGACAGCTCCGCGGCTGTGAATACTCCAAAGCGCCCTATGATGTTTCACGAATCCCGAAACTGTTCCGGCATGGTCCGAACCTTCTTTGCGCGTTTCAAAACTTTAACCCGAAACCGGTGCCGAAACTGACCACCTGGACCCTGAAACTCCGAACTTCCGTGCATACCCAGCGTCCTCCAATGAGGGATTGCCGCCACCCTGCATGCAGGACTTGTAGGGAGCTGATCTTATGACGTGGGAAAGCGTCTCGGCTGGGAGCACATACACCCCGCAACTGAACACGGGTACCTCAGACGAGTGTTTCCGTTTGAGTGCGACTATCAAACCATTTGTGCTTATCAAGATTGGTGTTGCTGTTGCTTGGCTACTGAGCTACTGTGTACGAGAAGTTACTTGTACAGTGCTGAAGCGTAACGGGACACAGCGGCCTCCAAGATGTTGTTTGTCCGCTGTTGTACGTCCTCACAGAAGCCGCGTGCCTTCATAAATCCATCTTATCCAGGAAGCTGATTTATGCAGCTCTGGGCTTGTGTTGCTGTGGCAGTCCAGGAACAGGAACCGGGGCACGCGAAGGGTGACGGCCCCTCCGGATGCCATGACCTAGGTCAAGATCTGAAACAGAACCGAAGCTGGGACTTCCGGACTTAACGACAAAGCCCATCCGGCAAGTTTCTGAAATGCATTCGTAACTGGATCTGCTGTCTGCGGGAACAGACTTATTTCACATGCTTGCATGCAGCAGCACGTGCTACTGCAAACATAACATTCATACTGCGGATCTAAAGGACGGGGCCCGACCCAAAGAACTGCTTCCATCGTTTCGAGACAAACATCAGCTGCTTGAAACTCCCGTCATTACAAACAGACTACACCCATGCAAAAACCTTGCTTTAGAACAACCTGAGCAGACACAGAGAAGAGTGGAGAACATCGTGGAAACACTGCTACTTGCTTGCTACATGCTGCCTTGCTCGCGCTTCTTTCACCGGTGGAGCAGACAAGCAGACAGCTCAGGCAGAACAGCAATCTGCGAGAATGAGCAGACCGGGCTGCGCGCGTGGGGTGGGAAGGTCATGGTCAGACGATTGCCCCGAATCTGCACCTGCACAGCGCTGCTCAGGAGTTATGCAGCGAATTGCCAGTCCCAGTATGTCCAGTCAAGCAGAGCCCTCCGGACTGTAAACTGTATACACCCATAGCAATGGCGCTTTGTTGGGAGCACAGCAAGGGTGTGTGGGGCGCCTCCTGACTCTCTCCCGGCAGCTCCGCCCGGCCTTCCGTGCGAGTCACGTGTTCTTTTCGATTCTTCCGTCTCCGTATATTATGTACTGCCCCTGGCTTTCAAAGACATCGCAACACCGTATGGTGCTGGACCTGGCTTTGCAGATTTTGCTTGCATGATACACTGCCGATGCCTACTTCGCAACCTGGGTGACATGGATCTTCAACTTGGGGTCCTAAACGATGACTCTATGAAATCTTATGCCCATCCTACTCAGACTCGTTGAGAACAGAAACTTTTACTGCAGCTGCCTTCTCGAAAGAACCTGCAACTGTGCTTAAAATCGTCAGAAGGGTTGGAGACCTACCTAGTCCCTAAACCCCAAACCCATCCAAGGGCTTGGGGTTCTGGGGCTTAGGATCTCGGGGGTTGCAACCCGGAGATCATGAAGTCGACTGTAGGGCGTGAGCAGTTGACATATGCTTTTGTTTGGAGAGGGTTTGGGGTGTAGGGTTTAGGTGGGGGGGTAAATCTTCAGCTCTCTTGATTATAGCGGCCTTAATACATTAGACTAGGGTTTTGTTGGCAAGTTTTTGGGCAGGAGGGAATAGCAGTAGTAATAGTATAATAATAGATGATTGTGGCGGCCTCTGTGCTGAGCCAGACGCCCAGGCCACACGACGGTTCAGGGGTTCTGGCTTTGAGGGTTGGAGCCCTCAGACAGAGTTGAGGGTTTACCTTAACCCCAAAGATCCTACCTTTGTAAGGGCTTATATAAAGACTTCATAAGTTTAGGGTTTACCTTAACCCCAAAAGATCCTACCTTTTTCAGGACATCTATTATAGAGAATTCATAATAAGGGACCCTACAAAGGTAGGTTCTTTAGGGTCCAGGTAGGGTTTAGCTGCAATTCCTGACGCCCCTGGTAGCCTTAATGGGCTTTGGGTGGGTGCTAGAACTTGAGGGTGGAATGATCCTAGCTACTGTGATGATGACTAGCAATCACCGTCTCAATATTGACGTGTTCAACGTTGAGGGACACTACTGAAATCTACTGAAACTAACAGCCCAAGAAAGCAGGGAAGACGAGTGAGTGCAATGGAGGTAATGATACAGATCTTGGCTGGAGTACTGCTCTTGTCGCGGATTTGGGCATAGGGACGTCCGCCATCCCTTAAGAACGAAATGGCCCTTGAAAGTATCCCTATATGGTATATGAGCCTTAAACCCATTTAGGGTTCATTTCGTTCTTAAGGATCGCTTCTATGTTTCTGGATTGCAAAGAAGCCCATGACGCTTAAAAGTGGCCCAGCAAAACCACGAACGAATATAAACTGAACACATGACCTGAAAAAACACAGAAATCTCAAAACACCCTGGAACAACAACCAGCGAAATGCCATAAAACCACGGCATTCATACAGACAACAACAATAATAATAATAAGAAGAATGTATGTATGCATGCATGTATGTCTGTATGACACCAAATACTTATATGGGTAGTTGTCAAAATTATGGTCCCTTTTGGGGTACCCTAAATGATAGGTGCCGTATTATATTAGGGACCCAAAAAGGGACCATAATTTTGACAACCACCCATATGTAATCATAGCGATAATTTGATGAATGGACTCAGACCTTCAGCCCTCGACTCTACACATCATGAAACGGTTTAGGGTTTAGGGTGGGCTAAATCATGCAATCAAGGGCCTCAGTGAATACTAAGAGCGACTTCTCCTTAGGGTCCAGCCCTAACCCTAAGGGTCCAAAGGACCCAATAGTTGGGCACTTAGGTTTCGGATAGTAATGATGTAGGTTACTATTTGGGAGAGTGTATGATTATTAAGTACTTGGACACTTAGGGTAAGCCCTCAACCACCCTAAACCCTAAACCCTAAACCCTAAACCCTAAACCCTAAACCCTAAACCCTAAACCCTAAACCCTAAACCCTAAACCCTAAACCCTACATGAACTCCTGTCCTGAAGGCTGCTAGCTCTTTGAGGAGGGCTCCAGCAGGCACCTTCGGCCCGAAATGACCTTGCAGTTTGCTGGTTTAGGGGGTTTAGGGTTTAGGGTTTAGGGTTTAGGGTTTAGGGTTTAGGGTTTAGGGGTTAGGGTTTGGTTCTTGCTTGTATGTGATATTTGTTGCTGCGTGCTTAAGGGTGTTGTGGAGCCTTGGCCGTTTTCAGTCATGAGCTTGATGGCTTTAGGGTTTGGTGGTCTTTGATGTGCAGGAAATTAGTGTTATTGAATTATTGTAGTGGTGCTTTGGTTTGTCTGTTTTGGGTTTTGGTTGCTAATCATATCATGCTCGGCACGCCTGTTATGTTTGTCCTGTTGCTCGTTATGATCTCCTTTCGGTTGTTTAAAAATCGCTATGTGACATTCAGCATCTGCGCATTTCAAGCCACTGGTTGGCTTAGGAGTGCTACTGAGACGGACATCACAATTTGGGGCCTAGGCGAGGTGTAAGGCTTACGACTTGCGACAAACTTTAGAAGTTAGGAGTAGGGCGACTCCTGGGGATCTCGACCCTCTCAATAAGGTCCCTTTCAGAGAGAGCCATAGGGTAGGGTTTACGGTTTTAGGCTTTAGGGTTTTTATATAGGGCTTGTTTTTTTTAAGTGCTTTGTTTTAGGGTTTAGGGTGTAGGGTTTGTTAAGAAAGGTCTCCCCCCTAAACCCTAAACCCTAAGGACAACTAAGGATTGGCCCATCTCGGGGTTTCGGATTGCGCAAGGGCGATGGCCTCATTGCCATCGAAAGGGAAGGGTCGGATCTCTTGTAGAAGGACTCCGAGGGCTCACGGCCATTCCACCGCATCCTCACAAAGCCTAAACTTTAGGGTTTAGGATTTTCGGTTTTAGGGTTTAGGGTTCAGGGGTGTGCAAGTTTTGGACCTTAGGGAGAAAGTGGTTTTATTCTCGGGCTTGCGGGATTGAATTAAGGCTTTAAGCTACAACGTACGAAGCCCCGAACCCGAAACCCAAACACTCCTAACCCCTAACCCCCCTAAACCCTAAACCCTAAACCCTAAACCCTAAACCCTCCCAGCACCATAGTTACGGTGCCATACAGCCCTGAACCTCCAGATTTCCAAACCCTTAAATCCCAAAACCCTACGCTCAGAACCCAGGCAGGATTTCTTCAAGGAATCAAGCTGAAAGGAATCCGTAATGTAGGGGCCGCAATAATTAGAATAGGGTTTTGGGGGTTCCTTATAATTTTTCTAGTATACTATGCCCTACTTCTAATGAGTAAGGCTCCTATCCTTAGCGACATGACCCTCAAAAGTAGGGGCACTATACCCTTATACTATGGAAGCCCTATATGGCATATGAACCTTAAATCCAGTTAGGGTTCATTTCGTCCTTGAGGTAAGGCTCCTGTATTATATTCCAAAAGACCATCCTAATTATGGTTTGGGGGACCTAATTCCATAATAGTAGTATACCCTAAACCCTAAACCCTAAACCCTAAACCCTAAACCCTGGACCCTCTTGGTTCTACTATACTACGCTCTATTCTAAATCCCAAACCCAAAGCCCAAAACCCTAAACACATTAGAAAGGCTCCTGTGTTAGATGCTGTCCTAAACCCATGAGTAAGGCTCCTATTATTTCTTTGGGGTATATCGTACTATACTTATAATAAGGGATCCCCCCAAAACAGTATTGGCAAATATTTAGGCCCCTACATTAAGGTAAGGCTCCTGTATTAGATGCTGTCCTAAACCCACCCTAAACCCTAAACCCTAAACCCTAGATTCGATGCTGCGGAGCGTCGGCGCCAAATCTCCCGCACCTCTGCCTGCGCGGGGCGGACTCCCAATCCCAGCAGCTGGCGAGTGCCTTCTGCTGCCTGGATGTAACCCTAAGGGTTTAGGGTTTAGGGTTAAGGGTTTAGGGTTAAGGGTTTGGGGTTTAGGGTTAAGGGTTTAGGGTTTAGGCTTAAGAGTTTAGGGTTTAGGGTTAAGGGTCCAAAGGACCCAGTACCAGTAATTAGGTACTTAGGTTTCGGATAGTAGTTATGCAGGTTACTATCTGGGAGAGTATATGATTATTAGGTACTTGCACCCTTGGGGTCATGTAGAAGCCTTAATAATTAGATTGGGGTTTTATAGGGATCCTTCAAAGGGTTCCTTAAAAGGGTTCTATAAGGACTACTATAAAGGTTTAGGGTTTAGGGGCCAAGGACTACTATAAAGGTTTAGGGTTTAGGGGCCTTAATAGTTAGAATCAGGTTTTGGGGTATGTTATACTATACTTATACTTATAATAATGAACCCCCCCAAAATAGTATAGGTAATTGTTTAGGCCCCTATGAGGGCTCCTTTCGTGTTTTGCAGGGTTTTTGCAGGGCTTCAAGAGTTGGCGTTCGCAGGGTTTCTACAGGAGTTTGTCGACATGATCCGCACGTGGTCCGGCCGCGAGTGCAATCGGCTCGGGTCTCTATGCTCTTGATAAGGGTTTCTATAACCCTAAGGGTCCATGTACCCAAAAAATAGATACTCTGGCCCCAAAGCACTCAAATAAGGGACTACTTTAAGGCCAAAGTATCTACTATTTGGGCACATGGACCCTTAAGGTAAAACTTCGTCTTCGGGAGATTCTAAGGGGAGGCGTGACTGCGTGGCCTAGGATTTAGGGTTTAGGGTTTAGGGTTTAGGGTTTAGGGTGGTCTTTGTCAGGTTGTGAAGGGCAGGGTCTTTATTTTGCAGCGTCTTCGACGAAGGCTTTCCATTTTCTGGTAGCCTTTACGCCCAGATCTTCGAAAATCCCTGAATTTGGGGAAGATACCTTAAATCTTAGCCAGGTTCCTACTACAATTTCTTAAAGTCGACTCCTTAATGAAGGGATACTGGAAGATCTGGGTGGTTTGCCTTTCTGGTGTCTTTTGCTATGAGCGGTCTTTGTTGGTGCCTTGATGGTGCTTTGGGGTTCAGGGCTTCTGCACCCAGCCCTCCAAAACTGGCGTAGTTGGGGATTTGCAGAGATATTCCTTAAGGACAAAATGAACCCTAGAAGGATTTAAAGTTCATATACCATATAGGGATTCACAGTATAAGGGTACGGGGCCCATACTTTTAACGGTCATTTCGTCCTTGAGGTTTGGGGCTGGTTTAGGACATTGGGTTCTACAGAGATTGGCGGGGATCTTCCCAGAGACTCCAATACCCCTTAATCAAGGAATATACCTTAAATCATATTAGGGATTCTACTATAATTTAGTGTATATTCCTTAATTAAGGGGCATTGGAGTCTCTGGGTTACATGACTTCCATCAGCATGTCCACAACGATCCGAGAAGGGTTCTATACGACTTCATAAGACGACTGGGGCCGAGATTGTAAGGAATCCCCAAAACAAGGTAACACAGGCTTGAGAAACCCGAAAAAGTGGAAACGGGCTCCACAACAAAATGAACAGCATCAGCACCAGCATGACCATCACCATCATGCCCATGCCATATCATCGTCATCTCGCGGTGGTCAGCGTTGTCGCTGTCGCCATCTTCAACGACTAGAAGTATCATCATCACCGGGCTCCACGACATCGGGGTGTAGCCGTCAACTCACACGGTCCTAAGTACCTATATACCATAGTAGAAAGGGTTTAGAGTTTAGGGTTTAGGGTAGAATAGGGTTTTCCATAAACGGAATTACCATCATGTTTTGGTTAAGCATCCCCCGCATCCAGGTTTGGTGTTTGTAGAGGGTTTCAGGGATTGGGGTTAGGGTTGTTGGGTGTACCCATAGGTCTTAAAGTAGTTCCTGTTTTGTGGTTTGTATTTAGGATCCTATTAGGTAATCCCAAAAAGGAACTACTATCCCTTAGCATCAAAATAGCCCAAAAGCCTTATATAATAGGGTCTTTGGGCCCAAAAGCCTTAAAATATAAGTCCTTAGAGTCCTAGGGTATGGGGCCTATGGGTAGGGTCACAGCGCCTTACAAAGGCCAGCGATGGCCCCCTAAACCCTAAACCCTAAACCCAAACTCCTAAACCCTAAACCGAAGCTTCCCCAGGTTCGGCTTAGGATCGGTTTTCAGCTGCCCCGGGTCCTAACAAGCGGTTTAGGGTTTAGGGGTTTAGGGGTTTAGGGTTTAGGTTTTAGGGTTTAGGGTTTAGGGTTTAGGGGTTTAGGAGTTTAGGGGTTCAGCGGCAAGGCATACAATGGCACAGTAGAATTAGGGTTTTGGGGTCTATATATGGTATAGTGATAGGTAATAGAGAAGGACTCCAAGCGGATACGATTCAGTGGGTTGCTATTACTAAGCCTTTAAGCCCAGTACCCTGGCCCAAGAAAGTTTAAACTTTTCTTTTAGTAGGGGGGTTAATATACCATAAAGTTCAAAGTTTACCTCCTGGGCTCCTAAGTTAAGACCCCATACAACATGAGTGGGCAAGAATGAAGGATCGAGTCGCTGCACTGTTGACGGCCGACGTCGCCCATAGCTGACAAGTCCGAAGCATAATATAGAAGCCGAAATGAGTATAACCATACTATTTAGGGGGTTCCTTAACATATTTATAGTATAACATACCCCAAAACCGATTCTTATCATTTAGGCCCCAAAGCCCTAAACCCTTATAGTAGCCCTTATAGCACCCTTTTACGGAACCCTTTAAAGGTATCCCTATGAAACCCTGATCTAATTATTAAGGCCCCTATATTACCAACTGTGTCTTGAGCTGTGCCGGCTGCAGTCAATCAAGGAATGATGGCAGTTACCATCCCCAAGAGCCGACGTACTCAGATAGCAGGGAGTTTTTGGTTTTTGTTTTCTAGAGGGTTTAGGGTTTAGGGTCTAGGGTCTAGGGTTTAGGGTCTAGGGTCTAGGGTTTAGGGTTTAGGGTGTAGGGTTTAGGGTTACGGTTCCGAGTTCCATACTCGTGCTGCGGCCCTGACCAGGCGCATCGTCATCCTAATGCCCTAAGCATCCATGTATCCATATAGTATACCCAAAGGGTCCATGCAACCAAATAGTGTACACTTTGGCCTTAAAGTAGTCCCTATATAGGTACTTTGGGGCCAAAGCATATAGGACCCTTAGGGATATGCATTGGCGGCCTCAATAGAATCCCTATACAGGTACTTCACGGCCGAAGTATATACTTATGCTGCGTGGGTACATGGAACATTAGGGATGGTTCATGAGTGGTAATGAGTAGTGTTGGTGAGAGGCACATGGTAGACTGGAGATGATGCTTTACGAAACAGCTCTTGTAGTTTGTTGTGTCCTGCTTATTATTACACCATGTTTTATGAAACACTGAGAGCGAAGGTGGCGATAACGACCATGATAAAAGTTCTTGTCCCTGTGGTGCTGCTGGTGCCGCTGCTGGAGGGTCGTTAATGCCATTGCTCCAGCTCTTCATGGTTCTCGATGTTACTATGATACCTTTTCGCTCGAAGTTGACCCTAAAGTCCTAGAACCCTAAACCCATCCGGGATCCCCCAGGTGCTTTGCATAGAAGGACTATGGTCCTTAATCGTGCGTGGGGTTTAATAGAAGGTAGCTGGCGGTTTAGGATGAGCCTGCAGGGGAAGGTCCCGCTCTTCGAAGTGCCCACGGTTTTGTGATTCTGCTTCGAGGCTTTGAGGTTTGGGGGGTTTAGGGGTTTGGGTTTAGGGTTTAGGGTTTTAGGGTTTAGGGTTTAGGGTTTAGGGTTTAGGGTTTAGGTTTTAGGGTTAGGGATTAGGGCAGGCGGAGCTGTTCGAAGGTCGTTTCGGGGAGGGGAGTGGTATTGGCGTTGCCTCCGAAGGTCCCTAAACCCTAAACCCTAAACCCTAAACCCTAAACCCTAAACCCTGGTTGAGAATCTTCGATGGTGGGAACCGTTGCGCTCTATGGTCTTCTTCTGAACGCCGAACATGCCGCCCACCTCTCCCAAACAGCAATTGAAACCCGTGTCCTATCTCGAAATCCGCAAAAGAATCCGCTGCCTTATGCTTCGACAGTCCTTAAACCCTAAACCCCTAAACCCCTAAACCCTTAAAGCCTTTCCGAACCCGAAAGCTGAGGGGCGCGCACTGCGTCAAGGGGCACTTGCCATAGACCTGGCATCCAAGAGCTTTTAGGGTTTAGGGTTTAGGGTTTGTTGAAGGTTTTGGGGGGTTCGGTGCACCAGGAGGATGACGTCGATGCAATGGCTGGGAGCAGTCGTCGTCGTAGTAGTAGTGGTAGTAGCAGCGTTCACCAAATCCCTAAACCCCAAACCCTAAACACTCAAAACCCAAACCCTAAATGGGGAGTTCTCTAAACTAGGGTCCCTTTTCGGGTCCTTTTTTATAAGGGTGCCGTACTATTTTGGGGACCTAAAAAAGGACCCTAATTTAGAGAACTACCCAAAGACAAATGTATCAGAGGTGATAGAGTGACTGTCTGGTGCTTAGTAGGGAATGGGGGAATGGGTTGTAGGGACTATTATAAGGGACCTTCAGAGGGATCCATTCCCCATTCCCTACTAAGCACCAGACAGATGAAGAGTGTACGGTGTAACCTGTCGGAGGTTCCTTAAGGACGAAATGAACCCTAAAATGGCTTAAGGTTCATATACCATATAAGGATTCCTAGTATAAAGGTATAAGGTCCCTACTTTTAAGGGTCATTTCGTCCTTAAGGCTCAGGGCAAAAATCAGCCCGGAGTCAGGGAAGCACTTCTTGTGGAGTCGTCTCAAAGTGGCAAAGCCGGCAAGCAAGCTCCAAATATTAAAGCCCCTATAATTTAAGGTATACTCCTTAATTGAAGTGTGTGTGTGTGTGTGTGTTTATATACATATACACACCTTAAACCATAATATTAAGGCCCCTATAACTTAAGGTATATTAAGAGGGCATTACAGAGGCTCAGGCTTAGGGCTAGGAGATCTATGATTTGTGTGAAACAGCGATCAAGTTTCGCTAGTTTCCCTAAGGGTCCAAAGGATCTAAAAAATCATGCACTTGGGTGACGGATCGTGCATTTGTAGCTTAGTATTCAGAAGAGTAGTATATGGTTGTTGTTCAAAATAACA